CACACGTCAGACGTGAGACTGCAAAGTGCTTGCTCGGATGCATACAACTCAAAATGGCATTAATGACACATTAAATACAGAAAAGTACTTGTTTTTGTTTTGGGAGAATAAGTTCATAGTTCTCCAACTGAATATTCTTATGATAAGCTGCACTTGCATAGCCTCGAGACAACTTTCGACTTGCAAAGAGTATTGCATCAAATGTCTACATAAGGCTCATATCGTTCCTCACTTCGTGACCGCCTTTAGGCTAGCCTATACAGAATGTCCGTATACAAATTACATCAACAAACACAACCATATATTTATGATAAATTAACGCCAACATGTTTAAGCACAGCGTCCCTTTTGCGATCTATAGAATTTACTTGAACTATTAAGCACACGCTTCATAAAAACCTGTGCGCGTTATGTGTGCACAATGTATAGTCGACTCGCAGGTGCACTCACTTATACATCTTTTATTTGTTCTTGAAGTTGCAGCTAAAATTACCTATAAGGCTTTCTCAGATGTGTTCCAACCTTGTCTTTTTTCGTCAGAAACAAAAGTAGATAGTCTTTATCCAGCTTCATTTCATATATACCGAGCACATGCTGGTGGTACGCGTTTCTCGGCCTAACCAAAATCGTTAATCGTTTACAGATACTCGCAATAACAGAAAAACAGTCCCATGAGTTCAGGCGGCAACAGCGGAGACTGCGTTCATTGCCACTGTTACACGGCAGAGAATACAATTTGTTTTGATGCCTTAGGTTGAACAAAGACATGTCGTGCTGCTACGCTATATTTGGTAGCAATAATAAATTTCACGATGACATTACAATTCTTGATTAAAAAAAACTATCCCAACGAGTGGTCTAAAAATCCGTAGAGAAACCCCCTTTGGCAAAAAAGGTTCCTTTTTTTTTTTTATAGTATGTTCATGGCGTGATTGATAAACCATTGCTTGAAACGCTAACTATGGACCCGCTTGTATCGAGCCAACTGGTCATTAATTAGTATGCTACCATTTGTGTTGTATCCTGCAGAGCAGTTGTAGAGGTAATAATGTCAGATCTAATGCAGGTTTCAGAACTCAAAACCCGGTATAAAATATATTACGGACCGGTAACATCTATTTTTCATCATATATTAATTAAATAAGGCTCGATCATTTCCTCTATTATAAAAGCAAAATCCAATTACGGAGATTTGTCTATGAGTCTTTGTCGATTAGGGCCATCGAAAACTTCTTCAATCGAGACGATTAGGTGTGGTACGTCTTTTGTTTACGAAATAAAAGAATCGCCAGTACCGCATCGACGTTCGCAGATCTGCCTGACCTCTATCGAGATCACCTGAACGTAGTTTCTTTTAAAATACTGTAAATACCTTGACGGATATTTACAGCATCTTAGGCGGCTTCAAACTATATCTAGTTATAGGCTAGAAACGATCTAGACACGATCTGGTGTTAAGCTTCTGCGCGTAAACGGCTGTGGACAGTATTACACTGACGCGTCGTTCACCGTGGGTCAATGCGTGCTTCAACATTGTTTACGTTGGGTACCGGTATTAGGTATTGCAGACATATTAAGGTACTAAGTAAGACAGCCAACTTTTAGCACACGAAAAACTCGACACAGTTTCAAACCTAGTTGGTCTGAAGTGTCCTTAGGTTTTGTTGGCAAACACGTTAGCATTGTACGATCACGGGGACAGTTAACATATTTTCCGGCGTTTAGAGTAAGTGCTTATTCGCAACTCAGTGAGCCATAATATATTTCATGGACTTCACTATAGCATTGCGTACGTACAATTTTACCGCAGCAGTTCTTAACGAGACCGTCATATGTATTGAAACGTGCACATAGCGCAGCGGTACTAGATATGAACAAGCTTCAAAGGACCGAATCAAGTCAACAATGGTAGCAGCGACAAAGGTTCTGACAGCTTTCCACGACGATAATTAGCTTCACGTATAGCATTAAATAATAGAATTTTATTCAGAGCAAGCAACACCACACGGTCTTCAGAGCAGGCAAAATGGAGCCGCTGAACGGCGACTTCTCGCTTCTTGCATGAGTCGCATCGGTACTAGAGTGTTTTTTCCTTGTTTTACAGTCCAACCTAAACTATACGAGCTTGTATCTCTTGTAGCTAGAGTCGTTAAATACTTCCATAATGACGTAAAACGCTACTGTAAACGTCCGTGAGCTTAGAGCCCATCTATTTCTATCTCTCGGCTGCTTTCTCCCTTTATATGTAGCAATTAAGTAACAAAGGCGGCAGCAACGATAGTAGCAGTGGAAATTTTTATGTTAAGCAACAATGTTTACGCAAAGAAGAATTAGAAAAATGTTCTCTCTTGTATGCTTCGATAATAGGTTCCATCTAAGAATCTTGTCCGTAAAGAAGGATTGCCTCTGTATGACGCACAGATTCAGTCTAGAAGCACAGAAACGGTTTGCAATATCCGAAGCAGGAAATATACAATAAACTTCATTACAAAATTCCGCGTTATGAATAGAAACGTATTTTGTCACGTGCTAGCCGTAGGTTGCGACATTAGTACTGGGTACGCCAAATGCATCGTGTTTGTTAGTTCGTTAGTTAGAAGGCTCTTAGTACACTTCGTGCAAAGTTACTATCGAGCTCAAACAAGCACTGCAATCTGTCATTAATACTGTTCATTCCTGTGGGTCATTTCGTAGTAATCTTTCTTAAAAGTTACATAAAATATCTAGTATTACCTATCTGTCTAGCTAGATAATAGTCTATACCAACCTAGCTGCTGCCATTCATTTGCTGCGATGGCAAATCCGTCCACGATACTCATTTGTTGACCATTACTTACCATACCTTTATGTGTACGGGTGTATCAGGGAGTACTTAGAAAGGCCGCTGAGTGCAGTTGTGATCATGCGGATTCTTTATAAGCCCCTGTCGTACTATTGCTACGCTAGAAAGTTTTGATGTTGACTAAGTGGAGTTTGCCCTTGTGGCATCGTAACGGATGGGCATGATAGTCATTTTTAAATTCTTATTGCATTCACTCTCACATTATGGATATCATTTACAAAGTTAATTAAGCAGGAACATTACGAAGGTGAGCTTCAAGTGCACAAGCCATTACCATAACTCTAAAATACTTACTGAAGCCAATTGCTGAGCTTTGGCCACTCCCTGTTTTTGGTTTTCTATACTGAACTGCGTTGTCCTACTGAACGTGGCTGTCTTTTTTTTTATCTCAGGTCCATTTCGGGTTAATAGTAAGTTCAAGTTGCACGCGCTAAGTAATTCAACTATGAAAATTTAATTGGATCTTTAATAATTCGATAACCATCCTAGTGGCCTAGCGCGAATGGATCTACAAAGCAAGCCCTCTCGCAATAAACCTCTAATGGCTATCACAAGTAGTTCTGCGTCTAGCGTTCTGGGAATCGCCCATATACTTTCCCAATATACGAAACAACTATCGCACGTTAATGGATCTAGGCAGTATGTTTACGCGCTTGCTCCTGCCAAATGGTAGATCGTGCAGCACAGAAATCACAATATCCTAACCTAAACATATTGGATACGCGTACGCGCAGATTCACTTAAAATGCAAGATAAAAATAAATGTTAGTAGCTTATTTATTCTTCCGTGGTAGCTATAATGTCAAATGAATTCGTGAAGCTATATGGCTTGGGTTAGTAGTTCACACATGTAGCATTCGCATCATTTTCCTTGTTATGAGTCGTTAAAGGTATATGTAAATGCATTAAGCTTCTATCTAGTAAAGCCTAATTGGAAAGCTGTTTGACTCCATTCAGTACCTTTGTCGTCGGTAGCCAGTGGCAATAAGTATGACCAAATTTCCGTGACGATACTCTAATAATGAATAGTTGAAGAAAAACAACATTTCAGGAACCTCGAACCGCGAGCCTCATTCTTTAGGCCGTGGAATTTCATCCTGCTATACAGGCTATTAAAAGTTTCCAATATAGAACGTGCAGAACATCTGTTAAATTTTCAGATAAACTTTCAAGTAAAAAAAACTTAACTATACCTATAATAAGATTGCTAGTTCCATTGGCAGGTCAGTAACGATAGATAGGGCCAAATATTTTTGACGAACACTTCTCCAGGAATTATCATGACATAATGGATACGTCAGCGCCATAGTGACACAATTTTGATTTTCCCATATTGCAGCAAACATCAACAATTAAGCATCGTTTTTTTTAAAACTAGTCAACTCTAAGGATTTGTTAGAGAGCTGGTGTATATATAATGATTTCAGCCAATCCCTAGTTCAGTGAGAAAGCTTGCGCAAACGTTTACACTTGATAGAGGACCTGACAAAAATAATCGTTCAAAATTTACGAGGTGCCACAAAACCCAAGGATCGTTATCCTGAGATGTCTCAGCAGGTCGTCTGTTTCAACTGACGCTTTGGCGGGTTTACTACCGACACCTCTTAAAATGCTACCAGGAACGTAATGTGGACCTTTTTCCGTCTAGTGATCTCAAAGCACGATGTGTTTCACTGCATAGGGAAAAATCACCGAATCGATGAACGAACAAATATAACCTTCGAATACTACCGAGTTCAACTATGAGGAAGCGAAATTGATTTAGATATCTCCTATTAGTACACTATCTTTTACAAGTCTTTTAATCCAAATTAGCTTCCGGTTCAATTCTTAAAGCGGCCTCTTCTAATACGTCCGAAATAAAACCACCCACTATGTCAGTAGCCTAGGAAATCGGGAGGGTCTACTAGAAAATAAAGGCAGGCAAATAGGCGTAATCAACCTGATTCGTACGGGCTAGGCAGTCTTTAGTGCTCATTGTCTTCTAGACCGAAGGGAAAAGCTAGCGTTTAAGCTTCTCTTGTCCCGGTAACTATAGCGATGTGATAACGTTTAGGCATTAAACTAGCGTGCATTTAAACCCTTCTTTCCCGTTCGAGAGCAACTATATATATACATAAATTTTCAGCTGGGCTCTCGTTTACTCCTTACTTACATGATGTGCCTACCCAACAGTGAATATGCCACTGGAAGTGCCTCTGTGAGTATGTTCGCGAAAATGAACTGCGCAAGGATGGCTCACAGGATAGCAGCAGGAGCTAATGAACGTCTTTGAACCGATGGCAAGCTCGGACTTCTTCGTGTTGATCCTGGAAGCAGGCAGGCAGGCAGGCAGACAGGTAGGCTACCGACAGCGAAGCTGACTTGTCTCCTTGTCGGATGGGTCGAGTGATCGTAATCCCGGAAGCGCCTAAGAAGGAAAGTGGAAAGATGCAACCAACGCAAAGAAGACCGAAGCTATGGAAATGAGTGAATTATAATGACACGAATGGAGTCACAGGCAGCAGTGATGGGTACTATCAGCTGTGCTGGTGGTAAAAGCAGTCAGCGGCCACATTAGTGACACTGGCTAAAGAAACTTTTGCAATTCTGCCCGGCTACTATTTTCTTCTACTGCTATCATCTGTGCTGTCCGTTCGTTTCTCCTGCTAGCTTTTGATCAAAGCTCTTATTCGCTAGCGTTCTCCCGCGGCCCGCGTACGACTATGAGCAGCAAGTCGTCACAACGATTCGACTAGGGTCCAGTGTAATTGTTGTAGCTGCCATTGCTGCACTACGGACACCAGGAGTTGGTCCGTCAATCCATGAGCATTACGGTTGTGGATAAAACGCGCATCAAGCAGCGAAGATCTCTGCCGAGTTCTGTTAGCATCTTGTTTTTCTAAACAGAGATGCATCTTGTTTTTAGAAGCTTGCCTCGTCTCCGACTTGCAGTAGTGCGAACAGAGCATCTGCTTAATTGTAGCTTCCATATGACGTTTTCGATGATGCCTTTTGACGTCTACGAGACTGTACGCCCGTTTGTCCTATACCCAGTAATAATATATAACTGTCGGCTGCGGCAAAAGGACAAGGTCCGCTGTTTGCGTTACGGTAACGTGATTTTCTAGTAACGGGACAGTTCAGTGCCTCTCTTTTTTTTATCATTAATCCCCTCCGACTCTTTAACTCTGCATTATTCCACTGCTGTGATTCTGTAGTATTAACGCATACGCTATATTGAAATTTTTCGATTGTTTTTCATCGTTATGACGAGTTATTACGCGAACAGATGCGAGTATTTTTGTATATTGTACATCTCAACTAGCGGAAGCACGCTCTATGAGTGAATTTCTAACAACAAGCAACATTGAAACGACTATTTTAAAGCATGAGATTCAGTGCAGATTCTCCGACAGTTTCTAAAGAGATCCGCGAAGTAGCGAATGCCAAATTGTTTGGCTATGTGCCGCAAAGCACACTGTCACAGCCGATAAGACCTTTTATGGAATTTTCTATTTCAGAAATCATTCGGATTTCACTAAGGACGTACGCGTTTCTAATAGAACTCGTCTGAAGTTTCATATCTGATGGCCTCACCTGCTCAAAAAGACCACAAGCATAGGAGTCAAAATACGCTTGAATCTAATCGACTTTTTCATAGGTTATTACTAATAGACAACATATCAGATACACGCCCTAATTAAACCTGTCGTAAAAGCTCTAATGCAAAACCCCGAACCTGCTTGAGGTACGAACATTGAATGTACACTGAGAAAAAAAAAATAACTTAGGACACTTTCTTACCTGACCCTAGATAGATCTATCGCACCTCGACACATTTGTATATATTACACTGGCTAATCCCTACAAGTCAGAGATTAGGATTCTCAATAGAAAAAGGTCTTGGGCTGGTTCGATTACTGAAGCAGTTGTACGAATCTAGTGACAATTGGAATATATTGCATGGTAATTCTCATTCAATAAATATATAGCATTCAGTAATATAGTCAAGATAGTCGGTACATATGATGGTTTTCGTGAGGACTAAAGCCACTCAGTCAGTATTAGAACATTCACAACGGATCTATTATCCACAAGATGGCGAGCTGGTATGTTAATGTTTTGTAGGTAGGAAGTGTATCATATGGTATTCAAGCTGGCCCAAAACAACTGATTTCAACGACGGTCAGTTTCAGAAATGTGCATAGACGGTGGCACGTTTATGCAAAATAATGGAGTTCGTTCGGACGTATGATCTTGGGAATGTTGCTTAGCGGCGTGTCGGCGGGATCACTGGAAGCTAAGCTTGGTCTGCGTACATTACGTGCACTCGATGATGGCGTTCTTTCGACCATGGACAACAGTGTCCTAATTTTTCGTGCTAGGAGACAACGCTCTAAAAAACAATGACAACTAGAATAGATAGGTGTCAAGTCCCAGTAAAGGGCTTATTGTTGAGAATAGAAATTAATGTAGTCTGGACGATGTGTTTTGGCACAGCAGGCATGTTAGCCTAGGTTAGCGATGGGAAGCGTAAATTAACACTATTTCCCTTATCCATTTCCAAATATTTCTTAACAAGGATAAAACATACGGCTAGAGTGATTAATAATAGAAAATTGGCTTTTTTCGCGTATAGGTAGCAGCTGACAACAATGAAGCCCGACCAGCGTTTACACGAGCCGTTGCGTATTGATGATGCTTGTCCTACTGGCGCCGCTGTTTCGTACATGGCTAAATGATTAGTTTCGATTTGATGCCCTTTGTTCAGAAGTAAGCAATTTAATGGCGCTCAAATTATAAAAGCCCGTAGCTTATGCAAAAAGCCGCGTACAGTAAATAACAACGAGCAACGACATGATAATTTGTTTAATTCCTATCGATCATAGCAAATTTCTGCTGCAATTTTTTGGGATGCTCGAAAAAGTGGGGCGCGACTTCAGAAGCGTTTAGCGGAAGTTGGCAGTGAAATGAGCTGTTCGACTTTGTTCTCGTTTTTTAGATAGTACAAATTACGAATTCTCAGAACCATACGAACAACGTTTTGGCATTTATAAGACAGAGTCTGTCTGTGCGAATTTATCGAAGTGCCTTCTTACAAGAATTGTGCACAACGGTCATATAGAAGCGGTTAGCCGCTGCTAGTAAAATTTTCACTACAAAGGCTTATGAAACACCAGGGATTATAACTGTAGAAGAAAAAAATGAGTTAACGTTTACAGAAGAGTTGCGCGTACGACTGCCAGGTTATTTGCTAATTCTGTTGGAAAGTAGGTTCACCAGGACCCGTTTCAGTTAGATCCCTCCAGCAAGATAAGTCCTCGACCCTATGTCAAAAAGATGATTATGAAAATTGCTTACCCAGAAAGGCTAATTACCGGAAAGCTGATGAGTGAAAAATAAGCGTTAATCCTGCAAAAGCGTCGCATTTGAATTAAACAGGTAAGGTACGCGTCTGAGGGAGAGGAGTTTCTACAAAACTCTTTACTTAAAACTAGGGGCGGCCCCGCTGCTTCGTCGTCGATCCTTGTATTGTTCTCCTGCACTATACTTACTGAAAGGTTAAAAAGATTCTTTGGAATAGCCGAAAGCATTCCCGTGTAAACACCCGTTAAAGCATGTCGCCCAACAAGGAGCCAGTGACCGTGACGTTTTAAGGTTTGCACCATCGATCCTGTTCGGAACGTCTGCTTTGAGTTTTTAGGATCTCCCGCAGGTAAGACTACCATCCAAGTAAGTTACACTTCCTTGTCGTTACCTTATCTTTGATTACTGTGGCTAGCCACTGCTATGCGAGGTCTATTAAATGCTGCAAACGTTCTGGCAAAAGAGGGTGGTTATATTTATCAGTCATGTCGTCTGGCTGCGGTGTGTTACGAGATTATTCTCTTTTATGTTCAGCATGTGATGGTTGATTCTACGATAAAAAGAGAGAGACACTTTTATGGGAACTTCTAACTATACGAGCTAAACAGATGTCTGAGTAGAAGCCCGGGACACGTCAGCCAGGTTTCTATTAGTACCAGAATGTCTGTCTGATCAAAGACTGACGGCGCGAGTTCTGCTAGGGTTGAACATCGTCCTAGTCCAAAGTCCCATCAATGAGCGGTCATATTAAGGATTCCGTAAGCAATCGCGAATATGGTTGCGTAAGCAATGATGGAGAATCCCGGTAACTGATAAAGCCATCTGTGTGTCCACCGCTTAGAAAAATTCTGGCCACCCTACGTTATCATTGGCACCTTGTCAAATGTCATTTCCGATCAACGATTTATTGCCCTCGTACGGGGGCCGATCTTGACCAACCCCTACGGAACTGATTATGATTAGACTGTCACCGTCTTGCCCTGAGACGACGATTGCACTACGGAACATCTTGTTCTGCGAACATTTGAGTCGCCGACGACTCTGCTATTCGATGTATTCGGAAAAACTCTCTTGATTTTTAGATTTAAAAAAAAGTTCAGTTCTTCAAATAATTCTGAAGGCTACTTCATTAACCACTTATATCGGTAACTATATGTAACAACAGAGCGTCATTTCGCGTTCTTTTAAGCGGCTTTTTTCGCGAGAATATCATTTGCCTTGATTGAATACGGGAGCAAATCAAGCATGGATTTCAGAACCTGCTTGTAAAATGATGACAAGTTTCTTGGCTTCGACCACCGCACTGTCGCTGAGCATATTCGACGCTTCGCGCAAGAAGCAAGTTACTTCTAGGATCTGCCTTTACCAACTTGGAACAGGTACTTTTTAAAGTAAGTTTAAAGAAACAGTAAATATTTCTGGTTATAATACATATCATTCAAAAACCGCTCGGACTCACTACAGATAAAAAAAGAAACAATTTAATAAATAGGAACCTTTTCCTTTATCACGGACTCAACTGAAAAGCACTAAATTTGAGTTTTGCTTTTGCCTTTACTCCATTTTCAAGTCGACGGTAATATGAAACACTGATTCTTCACACGTCACGAGCTGTGCCTGCGGCCCCTTTTCCCACACCGTAATACCCAGAAGTGAACGAGGATCTCAGCTGAATCTATATTACTGAAAATCTCCCAGATATCCTTTCTAAAGATGAATATTGCTTCCTTGAGCAAAAAAAAATCTTCGTTTTTAGGAGAACTCATCTGAGGAAGCGGCTTTCGGCCGTTGCCCGATATTCATAGTTATTGCCAAGGTAAGGAGGTAAATAGGTTGACTGGAATATCGTGAGCGCAACTTTTACGTGCAGCTCGTTTTAGCATTATAGACGGCATATAAGTGGAGTGTTGCATTTTTCGGTTGATCTTTAAAAATTTCGTAAACATTGGCCACCCTTCGAGGAGTGCTTTAGTGAATCCATTCATGAGCCTTATCTGTTACGTTGTTACTGACCTCGGTTAGTTTATCTCTGCTACCTAGCGCGTATCTATTATAGATTTGTACCAAACAAATATGCCTGATTAGATATTAGTTCCAATGCTTTGGACATTCTGGACACACGTTTATATATAGCTTTCTGCCGCGATATATAATATATGACTAGTTCTGGCAGAATTATGTTCAGAAGTAGTGGACGCAATCAAACTTAGTTCTTCCAATAGGATAGGTAGATAGGTAATAACTTAAGCCATATATAATTCAAGCCTTTTCATCGGTTTATTTGTTTAGAAAGGGTGCATACGTTTCTCGAACAATAAAATAGTAATAAAAGTACTCTTTGGAATGAAGCTTAACTTTTTTGTATTCTGGTTCTTATTTTGAGTAAATTATTTTTTCAGTTAGAAAAATATACGTAATTTATCAACGTAGCTTGAAGTAAAACCAAAAGTGACTCATAAAAATAGACAAGGGAATTGTTCCATGGCAAATTTTTATAACAGGCAAAATTAATTCTTTGCCTGGATTGCTAATATATATACCTATAATCATTTGCATGTTTCCTCTCCTCAAATGATATCATTCTAGTGAGCTTCTTAGTGATGTTAGTATTTTCAGGTGATTTCGTGCCCCTCGCTTTTCTTCATGTTATCCTTCCGGTTCTCTGCTTGAATTGTTTGCCCTCTCAAATCACGAAATCACAAGGCTCTTGTAAGGTCTCATTAAGATGAGTTCGATTTTGGGCTCCTGCTTTACTGCGAATTATTTTTGGCCTGTTTTACACTTTTTCGTTATAAAGTTGCATTGTGAGATGCCGTTGCGATTCAGTTTTACTTTATATTTTTTATTTTTTTTTATATTCAGGGAATCGAAATAACTTCGGCGATTTCTGATTTGAGACTCTTCTAACTCCACTTAAAGATGTGGTCTGCTTAACGGTTGCGTTTGCCTATTGCGACGATGCAATGAAGAAAACATATACAAAACTCGACCTGGAAAAGTCGGTTATAACGGTAAAGTTAGTCTCCGTTGCTACACTTCAGTAAAACAGATAAATAGGAATTGTTGTCGATCATCTTTGCTATCGCTGCAATGCAGCTGAATATATTTTGACAGAAATTTTTCACTGGCTACTGCTACTAGTGCTGCCATTCAATCAGTGCGAAATAATCAATAAGAAAATTGAACTTTATAAATCGTATAATAGGAACAGATAGATAACAAGTAGCGTCAGGCGAGTATCAATATTTGGAAGAGCCATATTTGGAACAAGCGCTTTAAGACCAGATCATCAATCGTACGGATGAGTAATAGCATCTCTGCGGTGAGAAATAGTGTCGATGCCGATCCGAAGACCTCAACACGACTCATTTTCAAGTAAAAGTCGTATCTGCGTTTCAAGAAGAATTAGTTATCATCACCATTAAGGACCAAGGGCCATCACAAACGTTGTTTGTTCGTTGATCTCATGTTGAAGGACGTTCGAGAAACTTCTTTGATTATCGTATAATCTTCTCTGCCGAAACTCATTTTCGACAAATGTTTCAGTTTGGAGCGTCGAGCGACCACTTCATTCACAAAGAGTTGCTATATGATGCGGCCTGTGGAGCAAAAATGTCTCTAGGCCATGTCCCTTCGGACATGACGATGGAACAGCTAAGATAGTCGGTGGCGAGCTCGATTGCAATATACTGCAAACCTTTTTTGTGACTTGAAGTGGTGATATTGGACACAAATAATTATCGATTTCAATAAGGTAAAGCACTTCGCCACGAAGCGTGGGAAACAATCAATCTACTCGAAATTATGTTCCCAGGCCGGCTGATCTCGATGCGCGGCGGTAACATCAAGTGGCCGCCCAGCTTCTGTAATTAGATCTTTGATTTTACTTTATGGGAATAAGTGAAGAGCAGAGTTTATAACATAACACTTAAAATAATTCACAATGTAAAACACAGGATTTGTGAAATGACTGAAAAGATTAACGCTCAGCTGTGTAAGGTTGTGAGTGAAAATTACGCAAAAAATTGAGTTATGCGAGTGGTCCCTGACAGGACATTTAATTACCATGATGTTTCATGAACATAACAAATGAAACCGCCTGAATCGGGCTAATACAATAAAAACATATACGTAGCTCTTGTTTTTCATCCCGGAAGCATTGAAACTGCTCAGCAACTTCTTAAGCGCCCATTTAAGGGCTACAAGGTCCACAACAGTTCAAACGTCCACTGGATCGAGACGCATGCTTCGGTGTGCTCTGAAGGACTAAATGTTAGTTTTTTTCAAATTAGGCCGTTTGCTGGTAGTAGAGTTAACCTACTTCCAGATCTAAAGTAGGCCAATTCGAATGCAGATATCTCAGATATGCAGTTCGGGAAGCGCGAATTTCGTCACTGAAAGCCGGCCATCGTATACGCTATGGGTTTTCGAACGAGCTCAGTGTCTCATAAAAAGACCTGAGAGGGTTATGTTAGGTATTTAAGGACGAAGATGCGTGCACTGTACGCAGATCAATAAAGATACGTATAGTGTACCTAGAACGGATCGATCATAGGCTGGAGTGAGATGTAAACCCAATAATCCAACCTTCTATTGCAACGACCAGAACGTTGGCTCTTTCCTAAATAACTATTCACAGATGCCAGTATAAACAGATATCACCTATAACTGCCCCTAACACTTATTTGTTTACTTTAGCCGCTACTGAAGATGCTTACCAGTCAGTGAAACAAATTGCTGGCAATATGTCTTTAAGGAAAGATTGGCCTTAGCTAAAATTCTAGGATGGATTAACTTAGAATATACGACTTTTAGAATGTTTACCCAGTTGAATGTTTTCACCTAGGTGGATGGCAATAAATATTTATGATGGTTTAAGTAGTTCCTATATATTTTATTAGGACTGCAAACAAATATTCTGTACCTAAAGCTGAGCAATTAAGTTACAGAACATGTTATGCAACGATTTAGCGGCAGGTGTTTTCTATTGTGACTCTACAATTGCATTTAGGTTGGGTCAATTTATCACGTGGACGCAAGTAAAATACCCTTAAATTACCATACCTTCCGTAGTATGTACAATGGTGGAATAACTAATTAAAAGTTCTCTGTTACAAAGGCTTGAATGTAAAGCAAGGCTCGATTTAATTATGATACGAAAAAGGTCTCGATTTTGAGAGAACATTACAGCTTTTGCCAGCTACCGAAAGGCCTTCTGACCTGCTGTCCACAGTTGCGCTTACACAGGAACTTAAGTAGCGCTCAGCTCAGGAACGCACTCGTGTGCCATTTCGCTCTAGTTAGCATCCCTTTGAACGCCTGTATCCTTTGTCAGTAATATGTTCCCTATTTTGCAAAAGACCAAAAGCTTTGCTCAGATCCTGAATTATGCCACAGCTTGTAAAGCCAAAACAACTTATAACACAGTTTCAACTATTATACATTGTATTTTTTCGCATGGGTAAGTCAGTGGACTAAAGTTGAGTACCGATGCGGATACTTCAGCATGATCGTTATATTTGTTTCTCTTAGATGACGTTCTGATCGAAACATCGTATAAATTCGTAAAGTACGTTGATCAACTGTTCAAACGAAAAAAAGCTTATGGTTAGAAGGTTATTGCTAAATCAAATACGTCACAACACAAAAAGTTACCCAGTAAGCCATATGAGTGCGCCGTAGCCCATCTCTTTGTTAGACCTATTTTGGTCGACTCTGATTTTTTGTATTTGCTCAATTATTTTCTGCTTCGCTCGTTAGCCAAAGGTTCTCTATGCTATAGTTCCATTTATTCGCCCCAAAGATGGTCAGAAAAATCTCTAAATTCAATCGAAAGCTAACGTATAATCATATTGAATTAAAAAGCAATTAAATTTTGTCGATAAGGTCGATTTTGGAATGGCTTTATCCTGGCCACGATTAGGCCTAATCACGAAAAAATGCTCTGTAGGCGCTGAATTCAAACACTTCGATCTTGTAAAAGTGATGCCATGAGTGACGAATAGTTGGCATCAGTATCTGGGAGGGAGTCTACACAAATGAAGTATCTGCAGGGATTTATTTTATACACCTTCAGTTAGATTCGGTTTTTTTTTAAAATCATTGTATATCTAGGTATGCCTAGAATAAGTTATTATAACTTATTCTATGTTTATTGTATAAATGCACTTTTAATCTTTTTCCTTTTTGCAGAAATAGAACTCTGACCAACAACAACCAACAACCGAAGCTCTTTTGGCTAGAAGCTACAGAGGTCAACAAACAGGACCCGTTCCTGAATCACGAATTGCGCATAAGTGCAACTATAGACAACAAATTCTTGTTGTAAAGTATTAAAAATGGCATTATTCTTTAGGAACGTTTAAACAAATGGAACTAGGATCTATTCTAAACGTAATAGATTACATGCGGTACAATATTACAAAACTAATTAAATCTATAACTCTTCTTAATAACAATAAATTCAGTCAAATACTTACTTGAAAAATTCGACCAAAGATAGAAAATGTTTTCCAGAAAACCAGCGCAATCCTGTTACATGAACTCATCAAGCTGAGTATCGTTAACTTAGAAAGAAAGACCCTGGTAGATTTACCAATTGGTTTCAAGCAGACCGTGGACTAAATTAAAGTGACCCTAGACCTAGAAAAACTGTGATGTGAAGGAATTCGTGAAACTTAACTGAGTGTTCAAATAGCGAAAAATTGACGCGAGCCTTTAAAGTTTAAGTTGGACGTTTCTTGGCCGCATTAATTTCATAAGTTGATGCGTTGGAAGGACTGAAAAAACAGGCGACAACATTATATAAACGAATGATATGTTTTTTTCATTTCGCGGACACGTCAATCCAAAGCAATAGCGCGAGTGAACTAATTATATTAAGTTGAGAAACTTCTCATTTGCACATTTATGGTTACTAGAGAAAGACAACTATCTTATTAAATTAAGGTATAAAGGCTATGCTTGCGCGATCGGTTCGTTTATGGCTCCAGGTATGCAATTCAGCAGGACGAAAATTTTACGTCGTTTTGAAAACAACAATTGACAAATAGGCCCTTTTCAATGGTGGACTTAGCAGGCCCAACTGTTGACCAGTTCAATCGAGGAAAATTACCATTACGATTGTTAGTATTAATCGTGAGGTGGTGTTATAACACGAGCCAATGGTGTACGATCCGTGCGAATTTTAGAATCTCCCGTGTTAATAGCTTAATAGCATGTCTCGTAAATTTTAACAGGATTTTGAAAAACGTAAATTGCAACCCTTTAGCCGAGTATATCATTGTTGTCCCTAATTACATGGAAAATGTTTGGTCAGTCTGCAACCCATATGGATCAATAGGAAATACACAAGCAAATATTATTTCTAAACAGTTTAGCATCGTTACAAGGGTTGTCAAATCGAGCTTCACAGAATATTATAGAAGTCGCGTACAATAAGTGTCAGCGAAATGTTCAAGGTGCCAGATTTGACCCGAAGGCAAAGCCAGGACCACGGTAGAAATATTTTGCATATTGAAGCTTATATAGGTTCTCTGATTCGTTTGGGTCGACCGGGGTAGCAGATGCTGATGTCATACTGGCAGCGCCGTGCTCCATATTTAGAGTAAAATTCTCCTAGGTTCAGACAACAGAATTAAGTAGCAGTTCGTCACCCTTATCGTACCTAACCACCGACTGATAGACATGATCAGAAACGAATATTCATTGGCGATAAACAATCAAGAAAAAATCATGCTTACTACGGAGCTGTCATACTAATAACCATACGCAAACTGCGCAAGATAAATCGATAATGTGTTTGCGTAGCGTACAATTCTCATGAGAGTGGCAAATGAATTATAACTTCTATGGGTTAGAAATTGATCATCTTTAATTAAAAGTAATACTCATTCGAATATAAGTTACTCGTCTGCGAACTGCCAGTAGTTCGTTCAACTTCTATTTAGCCCTAGTAAAACTTCGATAATACAAAAAAATAGGCAGCGTACTAGTGAGTCCCTTATTGTGTGCTCGCCGTATTCTCGTGATACAACGATTAAAAGTATTCAACGTGGGAAACATTACCAGCAGCCTTAATTAACAGATTTCGGCACGCCTAAATGAAATATCGAAGGATTTCCTTTTGCTTTAATGTTTGTTTGGAAATAAACTGTATGAATACGAAATGCAATATTTAGTGCAGAGACAGCCAAATTAAGACGTTCTCTGCGTCTGAGAAACCGGGTTTTTTTTCACAGACTTCTTCCATGCTTGTACGTCTAATAATAGCTACCCACGCAATAACCTCCTAAAAGCATGCGGCCTCCACTCTCGCCTCAGTCCTTTGGGACGCGGATGCCAAGCAACACACAGTGACCCTAACTATTACAGAGCAGGCGAAGCAGAGAGGGCTTTATTTCACCCCATTACGAAAGCAGCCATAACTCTAGCTCATGAAAGAGAACCCCTGCTCTTTAGAAGTTCAGGTAATACGCCTAGTTCTACTATATACACATAATAGCACACGCACAGATACGTGCGCATATACAGCGTGTGGAACTCAAATTAGGATAAACTATGACTCGTAGTTTGTCATAATGGGCATGCATTCGCTTGTCATTTATAGTACTAGAAGGAAGCATGCTTTTTCTACGGTAAAATAACAAACTTATCACGGTCGAAAATAATGCGCCCTTTGTGCACTAAATTTTTTACATGCAACGTATTTTAGCTAGACGTTAGCTACTTCATACCTAGCATGATCGCTTTACGCAAGGAAGTTATTTTCGAATGAACGAAATGCTTTAAAAATAACTAATGAGTGCCTCAGGTCCTGAAGGAAATCTGTGAGCGTGGGGAATGGTGGCTATATGAAATAAGCGTTACCGCCAGAAATGGTACTTGTAGCCCATGTCGAAAAATCGCTTTTTTATTTTAATAGTACTGAAAACCAAGTGCAGAGAAGGGCCTTCATTTAAATGCTGTATCCGGCGTATGTCGAGGTGAGCCATTTGAAGGACTGATTCCTCTTTAATGACTGATGACTGTCACGGAAGTGGTCGAAATAAGGCTGACTACTCCAATAAAGAGCCCTTCCAAGGTCACGATCAG